GAGGATAGGAGAAAAGTTGCATTGATGCACTCACACCTTTCAGAAAGAACAGCTTAAAATGATCCGTGGTTTTATTTCCTCTGCTTTGAAGCCCACACCCCTCCTTGAGCCAGAAGATCCCTCATCTCTGTCTCTTGCTGCTGTAGCTCTTAGCGCATCTGTTCCTGTTGAGTCAGTCCTGGTGCATGGCAACCCCTTGTGTGCAGAGCAGAGCTACTTCATGGGGTTTTCAAGGTTCTGATCTGTTGAAAGCAGATCACCAGGCCTTTCTTTTGAGGTACCTCTGGGTAGATTTGAACTGTCAACCTTTCACTTAGCTGCCCAGAGCTTAACTATTAACACACTGACTTGGGTTGGCAGCTAATTCAGTAGCCTGTGTGACCAGCACACACTTTCTCCTCTCTCTCATGCTAGCCTCAACACTTGCCCTCACAAACTTTGATGTGAGGAGTAGAATGGAAGAATGGTTATGGGGTGGATGAATAAAAGAATGGATGGGTGATTGAGTAGATAAATGGATGGATCAGTGGATGAATGGATAGGTGGCTGCTTGCGTGGAAGACTAAATGAGTGAGAGGATGGATGGATGGGTGGGTGGATGGATGGATGGATGGTGGAAGGCTGGATGGGAGGGTGGGTGGGTGGGTGGGTGGATGGATGGATGGGTAGATGGGTAAATGGATGGTGGGTGGGTAAATGGATGGATGGATGGATGATGGGTGGGTGGGTGGATGGAATGAAGTAAGGAAGAGCACAAAACACAAATCAGGAGCAGATCAGCAATTTCATTAGAAGCTGTTGAGCTTCACTGAGACCCAATGGAGAGCTAGGACTCCATGCTTCTATCCTGAAGCCAGCTGCCTATTACTATTGCCAACCTTAGGGAAAGGGGCTAGGATACAAGCCAGAGCCCAGGGTCCTGAGGCCTGGGTGTGGAAGGCTGACACCCTAGCTTCCATGGGATCCTGGAATGCCAAGCTTTAGGGAACAGAACTGCTCCCTCTGCCCAAACTCAGAACTGAGATCCGGAGCACAGGCCACCCACTGAGAGGGAGCCTTGGCTTCCTGTCCATTGTCTGCTTGGGAAACACCCATTGCATTCCTGAAGTGACCTGAAGAGGCCTGGAGGGAGGGAGGGAAGGGGCCAGCCTGGAGCCTGGTCAGGGTGGGGAGAAGGGAAATGAGAGGGGAAGACTTGGTGTTTTTCCTTGTTTGTATTTTGTATTAAAGAGAGAAATCTCCTTTGAGAAAAGCATTAAACAAAGCACATCCTAAGGCCCCTGAGGCCCATTGTGGCTGCCTGGAGCCTAGAATTCATTCATGCCTTTCTGGCTGCTGGTTGGAGGAGAGAAGGCTGGGGAGTGGGACTGAGGGCTGGAACTGGATGGGAATGCCTAGTTTTTCTGGGTCTCTGAAGTTACTCTCTTTGACAGGGTGCAGCCCCCAATTTGCTACTACTCTATTTATTGGGAAATACTTGAATTTTCTTTTTGTGGCTGGTTTCAGCCTTACACAGGCTCCACCTTACACAGGTTTTACTTTTATTTTGGAAATGATTCCCTCCCTTGATAGAGATCTAGGTCTCTCCTGAATCAGTCATCCTCCCAGGACACTTCTAGGTGTATAGCCCAGACAGGGTCATGCACACCCACCCCCCATCCTTGATAATGAACTTGACTGTCTATGTGGGGACAGTTCCAGAGGACTGCTTGAATCCCCACTGAGGAATCCTGGTCACCTGCCCTACATCTCTCAGATACTCTAACTCAGGTGTGGCCAGGTAAGGCCCCAGTCACTCTGTAAGTGTGAGGTTTGGCAAATAGACCCTGCTGACCACTCCTCACCAGATGGGGCTCTGTCCCCCTTCTTTCATCCCATGCACACCAGGGCTCAAGTGCCCTCTGTGTTAGGGTGTCAGCTCAGGCTGTGGATTCTGCACTAGGATCTGTGCTCGTTTCCCCAGGCCACAGCTAGACCACTCCCCTCTCCCAGGACCTTCTGTCAGACCAGCAGACCCAGGTACCTCTGCTCCACTCCAAGCTACTCGTAGTATAATGGCAGTATTCCCACGTCCTGTGTTCCCACCGGAGCACACATTCAGCGGTGAAGTGGAGTGGGGGTGGGAGGACACACCAGGGAAAGGGGTGGTCAGAACAACTCCCTGGGCGGCTGCTGACTGAAGGATTGGGTGGGTGAGTGCACCAAGAAGACATGTGGAGGAAAGGCTTGGAGATCTACTTGCAAAGTTGCTCACTGAAGACAGTGGAGCACTGCTGGAGCACTCAAGTCCTTAGAGCACTAAAGCCTGTGGAGCACTGTAGTCTGTGGAGCACTGAATCCTGTAGAGCATTGGATCCTGTGGAGCAGTGAAGTCCCTGGAGCACTGAGGTCTGCAGAGCACTAAGTCCCTGGAGCACTGAAGTCCCCAGAGCAGTGAAGCCCATGGAGCACTAAAGTCCCTGGAGCACTGAGACCTCTGGAGCACTGAAGTCTGTGTAGCACAGTTTTACTGTTATACATGGAGTCTCCAGGAGTCATTCAGCTGCAATTGGCTTCCTGTCCTTTGTAGAGAATTCTTCCTGGAGCCCGGCATTTGCAGGATTGGCCCCAGCAGTAGATGGAGAATCTCTTTCCTACCTTGTTGTAAAAATATAAATAGACAAAAAAGGTCACCCTTAGAACTTGTTCCAGTGCTGCCTTTACAGCTTAAAGAGGGTTGTAGCTAATTTGCACGTTTCCAAAAAAAAATACCCCCAGGCAGTTAAGGAGTCTTGGGTACAAATCCCTGGGGATCGTTTCAACTAGGATAAGGAAGCCTGGTTTGTAACAAATTGCTTCTGTACAGGTTTCGGGTGCACAGGCTTCATTTCCTTGGTCTTTCAAACATTCTAGAGAAGTGTGAACATCCCGTTTTGTCAGGAATCTTGAGACTTAGGGAAGTAGGTTGATTTCAGTTCTGTAACCTGTGAACTTCAATATCTGGTCCCAGCTCTGCTTCTGGTTCTCTGCAAGACCTTGAACCTGCGCACTCACTTCTGATTGTGAGTATTCTTGTCTTATAGATAAGGTTATACCTGAGGGTTTGGCTAGGATGGCTCCCAAAGTCCCTTTGTCCCTGCTGTTGTTTGAATCTGCAATTCCAGCATCATCTCCTGGTAATTCATTCTTTGTCTTCTGTTTTCCAGTCTAGATTTGATCATCAAAGTCACTCTCGGAACGTGATCTTTTGTGCCGTAGTTTTTGCATCCAGACACTTCCAGTTTTATTGCACTCTGCTTTGTTGTACTTTTCAGATATTTATTAATTTGAAGGTTCATGGTACCTGTCTGTAGGGGTATTTTTCCACCGGCGTGTACTCACTTCATATCTCTGTGTTACATTTCGGTAATTCTCACAGTATTTTAAACTTTCTCATAATACTATTGCATACTTAGTGGACTGTCACCCAAACCCAAACCCACCGTATTCTACTAGATTCTAACTCATGGTACCTCTCCATCAGGTTTCCAGGGCTATGTCAATCTTAATAGGACTACACTGCTTTACCTTTCTCCTATGGGAGTAAGGGGTGGATTTGATTTGAATCAATCACCTTTTGGTTAGCAACCCCCAACACTACCCCACTTGGATTACTTAATGGACTATAGTATGTTTTTGTTGTTAGATGCTGTCAGGTACCACTCATAGAGACCCTATGAACAATACACCTGAACACTGCCTGCTCTGTCCTGGGCCATTATCATAATTTCTGTCACACTCGAGCACGTTGCTACAGTCACTGTGTCAGTGCATCTGGTTGAAGATCTGCCTTTCTGTCACCTGACTTCACCTTTTCAAGCATGATTTCCCTTTCCAAGGAGTAGCTTCTCCCAACAGCATGCCCAAAGGATGTGAGGTGAAACTGCCATGTTTGCCTCCAAGGAGCACTCTAGCTACGCCTTCTCCAAGATACGTCTGTTTGTTCTTTTGGAAGTCCATGGGATATTCAGCATTTCTCTCCAACACCACAGCTCAAAGGCATCAATTCTTCTTCTGTCATCTTTATTCATTGTCCTCTCAGATGAATAGCAAGTGACTGAAAAGACCATGGCCTGAATCAGGCACACCTTCATCTTCAAACTAGCATCATCACTCTTCATTAATTTGGAGAGGTCCCTGATTGCCAACTTGCCCAATACAATATATCCCCTGATTACTTGACTGTTGGCACCAAGCTTGTTGGTTGTAGATCCAAGTAAGATGAAATTGTTGACAAGATCAGGGGTTCCCCCCCAAATATCATGATGTTACCTAGCAGTACAATGGTGAGATTTTTTTTTTCCCTGATGTTGGGATACACTCCATATTGAAGGCTTTGATCTTCTACAGCAAACACTTCAAGTCCTCCTCCCTTTGATGTTGTTGTTTGATGCCGTCGAGTCGTAGATGACTCATAGCGACCCTATGAATGAACGGCCTGAGCACTGTTTGTACATAGAGTTTCCGGAGGAAAGCCATTTCGGAAGTGGATGCCGCTCCTGCTTCCAGGCTTGATTTAGTCGGGAAGCTCCAGCCAACACTGTCCACCATGGGTACCCATTACCACGATTGGCACATCACTGTCACAGTCTTGAGCATCACAGCAACCACGAGTTACCTCTGTACAGCAACGCACAGACCAGTGCTATACCACCTAGAACAATGTTTGACAGGAAAACAATTTGAACCCAGCCGAGGGCCACAGATGAAAATCACCCACCTTTGGCTTGGTAGCATAGCTTCCTTTCCACTAGGCCAATATAGCTCTCTCTTTGTCGTCGTCATTGCCTCCCTTTGATAAGCACTGCGGAAATCAAACAATGTGTGTGATTCAGCTTATTGCCGCATTTGTTTTATTGCACTGATGTAGCACCAAGCCTGCTGTATGTTCAAGGTCGACCTGTAGCTAGTTCAGTCCGAGAGTCCTTTGCTCTCTTCACAAGTCACTGACGATTTCCCCCCTCTCTCTCCCCCTGATGCAGGGTTACCACCCAATGCCGCACGAAGCAGAGATTGCGCACACGAAGAAGTTGTTCCGGAGGAGGAGAAATGACCGGAGGTAGGAGACATTGTCATTGACTTTGGCCATTGGCTTTAGCGCTGTTTCAGACTGTGTGACACTTTTCCTGTTACTAGCTGGTTGCAGTGAGGTGAGGTAGCGATGTTGCAGTTGGTTACCGGCTGGAGAGTTTGCTGTGTGCAGGTGGTCACACTTCCCCTGCATGGCCCAGGAGTGATCCCTTTAGGCTCTGTCTCTGTGTCGTCCCTCTGGGAGACAGCCCAGATTTTACTTTTCCACCGGCCTCAAATATCAGTAGTAGTCTTGGAGATGAGGTGGGGCTGGCTGCCTGGTGTGAGAAATAGCTTCCAGGTGAACCCCAGAGCCCCTTCTTCCCAAGTCTCTGTCCTCCCCCCTTCCCTGTCCTGTTGCAACACTGCCGCAATAGATACACTACCCGCAATGGCATGTGCAAACCCAGTAATGCATTGCCATTGCTGTCAATTCACAGAGACTCTGCAGGGCCAAGTGGCATTGTCCCGTGGGGTTTTCCCAAGGTTGTAGTCTTTACAGAAGCAGGCTGCTTCATCTTGCTACCACAGGGCACATGCTGCTTCCCTTGGATGCCCAGACAGCCTTGCTTAAATGGAGCCAGGAGCAAGCTCTCCCCTGGAACGCAGTCCAGGGTGATAAGAAGGGGCCCCGTAGGTGGACCCTCAAGTCACCATGGTGTGGCCCTGATAAGGAACCACAACACTGGGAACGTGTACACTTGTAAAGGCGCTCTTATATATGAGAAGGGTTTTTCAAATGCCATGTAGTGGATTGAGTGAATCTTGAGAGAAAAAAAATTAGCTTTCCATTCAACCATTCATCCTCATTCTGTTTCGCGACGTTTGGGTTCAGTCTCCACATGGAAGCAGCACTCTTCCCATTTCCTCCTTATGTTTCTGACTTCCACACACCCTTCTTTCCTGTCCTTTCCTGCTTTCTGTGTTTGACCCATGTGCAAATGCTGCCCTTTTGATCATATGGTTGATTGTTCTAAGGACTTCGTGCCTCCCCGATAGTATACGCTCACCTATCCTTTGAAAGTTGAGCCACAGGGCTGAGTGCAGTTCCAGACTTGAAGAGTTTCTAAGAACTTGTTTTGCGTTTTGGTCCACATTTTCTTCCCATTTTATCCAGAACTTCTGATTCTCATTCTTTTTATTGTAGCCAACAACTGTCACCATGTACCATCAAGTTCTTCTGATTTGTAGAGCCTGGCATTCACACAGTTCACTGGTGCTTTGCACTAATTGTTTCCCTGCATCTTTGATTTTCTTCTTTCCTCTGATATGAAAAGGTTTTTAAGATTCGTTTTGAACGAAGCTCGCCAGGTGCCGAACAGTGCTTGTCACATTTGTCCATTTGTGCAAGGGGGGATGCCTCGAATATACTTTGTGCTTCAATAGGCATAAATTATTTCTGGGTGGAAATTTTAAAAATGAGAAAAGACGTCTGCCTGAGGAATTGAAGTGGGTGTTCCTCCCTGGGGAATTGTCTCTGAGATGGCGATGATGGCTGTGGTTTTACCTTTAATGAGCAGAGAATGTCCAGAGAGAGCTGTGAAACAGCCCAGTGGGTGGCCGGTGCTCAGAACATCACAAGTGCCAGCTCTCCTCCTGGGGGACCAGCTCCTTGAGGCTGAAGGCTGAAGCTGAGCAGTGCCCAGCCGTGCTCCCCACGGAGGCGTGCTCCCCAGGGAGGCTGTGATGGAGGAGTGTGAAGTGGCCACAGCCCCCAGGATGGGGGAGGACACCAGAACGCCCTGTGATGATGGCTTTCAAACCATTCACAAGGACAGTAAACACACTGCCTGCTGAGAGGAAGGCAGTCCTGGCATAGAAACCAGTCCCGCCAGGCACTGTGTGTGGCCACAGCAGAAGGGAAATTGAGCGCAGAGACCTGGGCCAAGCCCTGGACCAGCCAGTGTATGGTTTGTTGCATTGTGTCTGTGCGTGCTACCTTTTTGCTCTGCAGCATGGGAGGTAACTAATTCCTGGTTTCTGAGTCCTGGCGAGAAAAAGAGGGAGCATCTGCACAGGCTTCGTATCTCCCTCCCCAGTGTCCCTGGGGCCAAAGGTCACTGATGATGTGTGTCTCAAGAGGTGCTGGCTTCCGGATGAGAGGTCACCCTCTGACCTATATCTCGGGACCCAGGCAGTGGCAGCGGCTGCTCTGCGGCCAGTAAGTCCACGTGTCCATTTCTGGGCCCGGCTGCCTCGCTCAGCAGGCGTCCCCCGAGCGCATGGCCAGTGCCAGGCCTCCGGAAAGCAATGGCCCGGCCGGGGAGTGTGGGAAGAGCGCGCACCAGGCCAACTGGGAGGCTGAGCTTCCGCCGAGCCCCGCTGTGACTAAGGCCCGGTTCAGGTCAGCACGGCTCCAAAAGGATGTGAGCCCGGGACCAGGTCCAACGCCAAGCAATAAAGATGATTAAAGGGATAGAAACTGTGTCCGGTGGGGAAAGGCTGGAGGCCGGGGCCAGGGAAGCAGAGGCCTGGAGGAAAGGACATGAACCATTTACACGGAGGGGTGAGTGACACAGCTTCATGCTCAGGGTCCCGATCCAGAGGAAACAGCTCAGGTGGACGCAGGACTTTCAGCCGCACAAAAGCCAAGCTCAGGGAATGAACCTCTTGATCCTCAAGGGGTCAGATGGGCAATTCTGTGCAGCTGGTGTGAACTGACAGTGGCCGCCAGTCCATGAGCCATCACTGTCCACCTGTCCTTACCACCTGAGAGGCCCCTGGAGTGGGGAAAACAGCGGCAGGTCTACATGGCTTTTGATATTTATTTGTTGATATTGTCAAGAACGTGCTGAACATATACCAATTCAATACTTCCTGCGTGTGCTATCCATTGGCATGGATTGCATTCATTGAGTTGTGCAAGCGTTCTCGTCCTCCATCAGCATGGGCTCACCACCCCTAAGGTCCAAACTAACCTTCAAATTACAGTTGCCAATTTGAGGTCCTTGAGGGCAGCCAGAGCTTTAAGGACCTCAGTTATCTATTGGGAATCAGAAAGCCAGCACCGCGCTCCTCATTCAGGATGGGGCCATGAGGCTGAAACAGGGACAAGGCAGGAGGAGGATCTGAAAGCATCAGTTGCTCCCAGCAGCTGGTGGGATGAGGTGCTTTGGCCTGACTGAGCTCAACAGGCAGCATACGGATCACTGCTCGTGTCTTCCACTAGGAGTCACTGTGTTGCATCCTGTGTTCAGCTGGGCATGGTCTCTGCCCACAAGGTTCCTTATCCTCTTCCAGGTTCCAGATTGATTTTGTGGCCTGACCTCGTGACCCTGACTCCAGAATCAGCTAGAAAGTTACATGGAACCTCATAGCATCCCCGTCCGAGTACTGAAATATGGTCTGTGGGTTCTGCGGTGGTTTGCTCTCAGCTGCAAAACTCTAGCAGTGTAGTCCCTGGGGATTACCAACTGCATTACCAACCTAAAGATGTCTGTTCAAATCTACCTTTGGAGAAAGATGGGCATTCTCTCCTGTGCCGTTTTTAGCGTCTGAAAACCCACTGCAAGGCCAGCTAGAAGTTAGATCTGACTTAATGGCAATGAGTATTTTTGTTTTCACGAATCTTGAAGTTCATGGTTGGGACTCATCCAGTGGTGCCGCAAAAGAAAAGCCTGGCGATCGGCTTCTGTCACAATTACAGCCAAGGAGACTGTGGAGAGTTTGTTCTCCTCTGTAACACATGGGGGTAGCTGTGAGTCAGCACCGACTCAGGGTGGAATTGTGAATACAAGGAGGTTCAAAAGGAGCAGTCATGGCGGGGTGGGGTGGGGAGAGGAACAGAACTGAGCCGTAAGACGCAGTCGGATTTGCTGGGATGGAGAAGGGAAGATGTCTCCTTGGAGGATGGTGAAAGCTGCAGCGAAGCAGGTGCTGAGCCCAGGGATTCCCCGCCCTCCCTGGGAGTCGCCCCCACATAGCTCCCTGGAAGCAGAGCCAGATGGGCAGAGCCCACGGCTGCCACTTTCCCCAGCTGAGCTAAATAGACGAGAAAGGCGGAGTCAGCCGGCTCCTCAGAGCCCAGCTCCAGACTGCTGGGAGTCTAGGTGGACCCTGCAGGCCACCGGCCTGCCCTTAGCAGTGAGAGCAGACGGGTTAATGGAGGCCTCTGAGATCCATCCCCGTGGATGCCAGGCAGCCCGGGAGACAGAGCGCCGTTCTGCAAATTAATTCGTTTCATTAAGTGAGATCTCAGAACAGTTCATTTACTCCATGTACAAAGCAGATTTGAAAGGCATGACAAGAATGCCGCGGCCGTTCCCACCCTAGTGTCAGACAGCTCAGTGGTGGCGTGAGACTGGCGAGGGGCGAACTGTCCTCACTCCTGCTGTACCTGGGTCCCCCAGGTGGTGCAGAGTCAGGCTACATCCTGGACAAGGCAGGGAGGTGTCAGAGCCCCCAGCACTATCGATGCCTGTGTCCTTCAAGTGACCCTGACTGTGGCTTGCTAGCTTCTAACGGTAAAGCCAATTGTGAATCCCAGACCCTTTTGCCCTGGCCTCTGCCACTGTGAACCCTCGCTGGGGCCCAAGCTTATTCAGTGTGGACGAGTCAGTGTCACCCTTCAGAAAGGACTGTGCAGGCTCCCTGCAACATTACCTATATCGCTTATACCAGCGGGCAGGACCCCCGGCATTATAGGGAGCACTGGTGGCCTAGCAGCAAGAAGCTGTGCTGCAATCCCAAAGGCATGTAGTTTGAATCCACCAGCTGCTCCACAAAAGTATCAGTCTAGGAACGCTTTCAGAAGGGCTGCTGGCTTGATCTCAGCCTAGTCTGTGTGGACCTATACCAGTTATTAGTGACCACCTTTTTTCTTCCAAGTCACCCTTGTGGACATCTCTTTGGGAAAGATGATAGCTAAACTTTTCTGGTTTTTGAAAATTGGACTAACTTCTACCCAGGATGGGTGTGTGTGTTGTTGTTAGGTGCCATCGAGTCTACTGTGACCCAGAGTGGCTCATGAGCAGCAGATCTGAGCCTTGC